CCATTTACTGAACCAAGTGGGAATTAGCCAGGCAGGCACAAAGGGTTTGCACCAGGTCTGGGGACACAGGGGACACCGTCTTAAAGGGGCTGTGTCCCCAACAAGTCTGGGGACACGGCCTTAAAGGGGCAGTGTCCCAATCTTCCTGATGTCCCAAAAAAGGTGTTTAAAGGGCCAGCACCAGTCACATAAAGAGTCCATAAGCCCCAATATGCCCACCGACAGTCTTAAAGGGCCATACACACCAAATAAAAGTGCATACATTTTCACAATCTCCCAGGGGCCATAGTCATGCGGGAGGAGGCTGGCAAGTAGGCTTCTCCACAACCCAGGGAAGCAGGGCAATTTGCCATTTAAAGGGCCCGTTACAAATAGCAGTTTGTAACAAGGTGTCAATCCATATCTGCCAAGTGACCCGATGTAGGGGACCAGTCCCTATTCTGCTCTGTGTCAGTGTGTATCAGGGAACCTTAGGACAGGTGTCAATCCATATCTGCCAAGTGACCCGATGTAGGGGGAACAGTCCCTATTCTGCTCTGTGTCAGTGTGTATCAGGGATCCTTAGGACAGGTGTCAATCCATATCTGCCAAGTGACCCTATGTAGGGGGACCAGTCTCTATTCTGCTCTGTGTCCGTGTGCATCAGGGGCTCTGAGGACAGGTGTCAATCCATATGTCAAGGTGTCAATATGTCATATGTCAGGTGTCAATCCATATTCATTGTGATTTAGGAATGTTAGGTGATTTCTGCCCTTTATGGATTAAAACCAGACTCTGTATCAACTGTGTAATTTTCCATGGGAGTTTTGCCATGGATCCCCCTCCGGCATGCCACAGTCCAGGTGTTAGTCCCCTTGAAACAACTTTTCCATCCCTATTGTGGCCAGAAAGAGTCCCTGTGTGTTTTAAAATTCGCCTCCCCATTGAAGTCAATGGCGTTTCGGGCGGTTCGCCGGTTCGCGAACATTTGCGGAAGTTCGCGTTCGCCGTTCGCGAACCGAAAATTTCGGGTTCGCGACATCACTAGTTATAAGGTACACCAACCTTAGTGAGCGACATCATTGATATCACTCTAGGCTTATTGAGCAAGGAGTTCCATATCTAAATTACCTTATGGAGAACCTAAGACGTTACAACAAACCAAGACAAATAGATAGAGAACATGTGTGCAAAAGGAACTTGCTGGCATTTTGGACGAAGACTGCACATTTGAATGGAATCAGTCTGATATGAACATGGTGTAGGTCCTCTTTCTAATGCTGCAAGTGAGCTAGCTTGAAACCTGAGCTTGAACTCAGGGAAGGACAAGATAATTAAGTTATTTTATGTTCTCAAAGTTATCTTGCAATCTGCCTATTTTAATTTGTAATATTGTATACCTAGAGTGATAGCCACAAATTGAATAGATCCTTAGTCATGATTTATAGGATCAACACGAGAAATATCAAGTATACGAAGTTTTAATATGGACTTATATTGACTTTCCCACTTAACCACTACTAAATTATCAGTTTTAGGTTAGGCCATTCAAAAGGATCTTTTAATTTTGAAAAAAAAAAAAAAAAAAAACATGATAAAATAGAAATTGTCTTCCATACCAATAATTACATTTACATTTAGAGTGTAGGCAAAACAGAATTATGAATTGTCCCTTCAGCTTTTTTTTCAAATTTCTTTATTAAACATTTTTCAAAGCAATTTTAAACAATCAAAATTGGAGAATAAAATGGTGTGGGGATACCAAAAATACATTTTGATTATCATGTTGTTTTGTCGATATCCTTTATTGCCACAAACGTTTAGTCACAAATATATGTCTGTAGCATGGGTCACCATCTGCAAACCGTCCTATTAGGTAAAATGCGTTTGGTGACTTGGAGATATCTGCACTGGAGCATCAAATGAAAAGACTAAAGGGCTACATCTCCACGCAAAAATAATAATCAAGGGACAAAATGTCCTTTTAATTAAAATTCAAAGCATAAAACACATTCTTGTAGCCAATTACAATTACAATTGTCAATAAGAAAATATTTTGAACAAACAACATAATATTAATCAGTGTATTTTACCTGGAGGGGTACATTGATTTTCTCTCATTTTCAAGTATGTCCTGGGGTATAGGTTTTATCAATTCTAAATCAATGGGACTCATTTGATCAGCCTGGAAGAATGAAAGAAAGAATTGACCCTGCTGGGAATAGAGGCTGCAACAGTGAGTGTTTAACAGGAACTACTGTTAGAGCATTTACTAGCTATTTCACACCTTTAATTCACAATAGCGTGCAGTCTGCTGTGGAATACTAGTAGGTACAATTGTTTAAGAGATACGTTAAGCATAATAAAACATAGTGCCCTTTGCATAGATTATGATACCAGCCTGTTCTGATCAGTGTACACAATTGCTTATAACTGTAGTGATTTTCACAAATATCTATCAGTCACATGACAGTAATTGGAAGCCATAATTCACGTTAGCATTACATAAACTTGTCTAGAGTCGAATGTAGGTTGCACTTCTAAAAGGCTGTTTCATAATGCTCTCTTCTAGTCTATACATTAGTTGAAGAAATTAATGGAGGTATTGGTCAGATGTGTTCAGTTTACCATTAGCTATATTCAAGCTTGTTTTTATAAAGAAGCCATACTGACTCTTTCAAAGCATGCTATGAAAAACTTTACTGAGTACTACACATATTGTTTATAGATAGATTTATTGTATAGTCCCATGAATCTACCAGTATGGTATATATTTTCATAATATGTTATTATCTGAAATATAATTATTCTTGTGATCTATGGAAAAATATAGTCCTATAAAGTTTCCATTTTTTTTAAATGTAAACAATGAACAAATTATAAATAGGCTAGGTAGCCCAAATTACTAGAATATTCTAGAATATTTCAACATTCATGCCTCCTGTTCTGAAATGTGAACCATAAGATTAAAATCATTCAAATGAGGCTTGTAAATAAGTATCCTCCCTTACCTGTTTTTTCTTATAAAGCCGACCACCAAATCAGTGTGATGGCATGGAAATGAAAATTTTCCTTTCTTACAAATTGATAGGGTTTGGATTTAAAAAAAAAAATGGTTTGATTTCAAATTGCAAACAATTTTGGATCGATCTGAAGATTGGGATCTGTGAAGCGCTATAAAAGAAGGAAAGCAAATGCCTATAGTGTCCATTTAAAGGATCACTATATGGTCAGGAACACAAACATGTATTCCGGACCCTATAGTGTTAACACCACCAGCTAGCCCCTCTGGGCCCCTCATGCCTCCATAAATATAGTAAAAATCTTACTGTATTCAAGCCAGAAGCTGTAAATCTGCATGCTGTTAGACTCAGAAAAACAAGCAGTCTGCTGACATGTGGTAGCCTGATCCAATCACAGTGCTTCCCCATAGGATTGGCTGAGACTGACAAAGAGGCAGATCAGGGGCAGAGCCAGCATGATTCAAACACAGCCCTGGCTAATCAGCATCTCCTCATAGAGATGAATTGAATCAATGAATCTCTATGAGGAAAGTTCAGTGTCTGCATGCAGAGGGAGGAGATACTGAATCACAGGATGCTGTGCACAGTGCTGCCCTGTGCTCTGCTGACAGCAGATCTGAGTGGATGGAGGCATATTATGCCTCCATCAACTCTGAAGTCCCTCTGGTTCACTCTGAGTAACTGCAACTGGAGGTGTTCCTAGCTTTCAATGTAAACACTGTATTTTCTCAGAAAATACAGTGTTTACATGAGAAAGGCTGCAGGGAGCTATAGTTCCCACCTGAACAACCTCATTAAGCTGAAGTTGTTCAGGTGACTATAGTGTCCCTTTAAAAAAACAACAACAAAAAAACATCTATAAATTATTTATTCAAAGTCGCTAAGTGCCAGTGGCTTCTAGACTCATGCATGGCAAAATAATTGTGGTTCTTTTGATTGATACAATTGATACAACTCAGATTTTCAGATTTTTTTGGTTCTGAAGAATTTTGGTTGAGGTTTGATTTGAAACTCTGAAAATCAAAAGAAAACCAAATAAGTTGAAATCCTGCCAAATTTCAATTTGGACTCATTCAAATCTCCAAGTCTACAGTAAATATAGAAATAGAGACTGAATTAAACATTGAATTCTATAAGAAACAAGAATACAGAAAAAGCATAAAGAGAAAGGGTATAGATCGAGAAGTAGTCAGAATTTTTTCTTTTGTATTCATTATGATCTTGGCTTCCAATATCACTTCTATGCGGATGGCACGCTAATCTATCTGTCCTCCCCTGATCTCTCCCAGCCCCTCTTGACTAGTGTCTCTGACTGCCTCTTTGTTATTTCTAACTGGACGGCTGCCCACTTCCTTAAGCTCAACTTGTCCAAAACAGAACTTCTGGTCTTTCCTCCCTCAAGTGTTGCTACCCCTGTTTCTATCTCCCTCCATGTTAATGGTAACACCTTCAGCTCCACCACGCAGGCTCGCTGCCCTGGTGTTCTCTTTGACTCCAACCTGTCCTTCACCCCTCATGTCCAGTCGATTGCAAAATCCTGCCGATTCCATCTTAAAAACATTGCGCAAGTCTGTCCCTACTTAACGCCAGATGCGGCTAAGGTGCTAGTCCATGCCACTGTCCTCTCTCGCCTTGACTACTGCAATCAGCTTCCCAGTGGTGTTACATGTTTCCAACTTGCCCCGCACTGTGGTCTATAATGAATGCTGCGGCATGGCTCATCTTCTGGTCCACCCGCACCTCCCACGCCTCACCCCTCTGTCAGTCCCTGTATTGGCTTCCCGTAAGATATAGGGCTCAATCTAAAATTCTGATTCTTGCTTTCAAATCTCTACATAATGCTACTCCCACCTATCTATCCTCCCTAATACACAAGTATGTCCCGTCTAGGCCTCTATGCTTCCGAACACCTAGGTCTATCCTCTGTCCATACTCCCACTCTGATGCTCACCTCCAATACGTCTCGAGGGCTGCACCTTTTCTGTGGAACTCCCTTCCATTTTCCGTGAGATGCTCACCTAGTCTCCACGCCTTAAAAAAAATCATTAAAAACTCACTTTTTCACAAAAGCGTATCAATTAAACTGTTAATGGCTCCAACAAACCCCGCATTAAGTCTTCATTGAATACTATTCTACCAATCTACTTCCCTAATACTTCCCTTACCTAGTGTTATGCTACTTGGGTGATTTGGATTGGAACTCAACTGCAGCTTGTAAAACTCCCTAATTACAATAGTGAAGAAATGGAGAATCTTTAAAGTATCAATACTGTAGCTTTAAGAAAAGAGAGGATTGCTGGTAACTTGATTTTAAACGAAGTTTTAATCAGTGTTAAACTTAAATAAATTGCATTTAGGCAATAATCCAATAGGAAGAAGTGCAAGTAATCAACAACACAAAGTTCATTAATAAGTATTTCCTCAGAGATGTATTAAGTAACATTCTTTAGGTTAATGAGAATAATCTTCAATAATAACTTTAAGCAAGTAGCTGAGAAAATTTGCAAAGCAGGAACGGTTCATAGTTAATAAGCATGATGGGAGTTGTCCTCCATATAATTTGTAGCTTGAAGCACTGAGTGTATTTGCAAAGCAAGAAACAGTTCATTGTGAATAAGCATGATGGGAGTTGTCCTCCATATAATTAGTAGTTTAAAGTAATGAAGATTTAAGTAAGCAAGCATTAGTTCATTATTAAATGATATTGTAGACAAATAGCTGAAAGATATACTTAAGGTTAATGTGAGTAGTCCTCCAATAGTTCAGCGATATGGTCCACTTGTAAAGTAAGTGAGTTTCCGTTCTCCAGTAATCTTCTATGACATCAAGTATACTTGTTTTAGCCCAGAAGGCTAGGACGACTTCAGAGCTTGTAGAGCCGGCGTCTCCCAGGAGCCGGCGTGCATACTCGGAAGTAGGACCCACATTGCCAGAGCCTGCGGAGAGGTAAGTCTGGCGGAAGTAGCTCCCAGTATCACCAAGCACCCTCTCTCTGGTGCGGTCTCCCTAAATACCGTCAGAGCTGCGTCAGAGGTGGGCGAGGTCCGGCTCCTCACAGCGGAGTGCCGAACCCGGAAGTGTTACCGCATGACACCTAGTCCACCCATTGTAAAGCACTGCAGAATTTGTTGTTTCATATAAATATAATAATAATAATCATCATGAAATATTATTCTTAGTCATCATTGTTCCCCTTTAATTCATTTGACTTTAAAAAAAAAAAAAGCTCAGAACTCATTTTTTTATAAGCTATGCTCGAGGCACATGAATGGTGGCTCTACCTAGCTGGTCTTTTGCTTGCTTGCTAGTTCACTGAGCTTTAAGGTCATATCCTTGAAATAAGAATCATGGACCTCTCTCGGTAGTCCGGCAAATACCGCTTCACTCTGCTTTCAGGTTGAAGGTGTTTGTTAGAAAGAAAGGGAAGCCAGTCATCCAGATGACAGAGGAACAATGTTCAACAGTCCAAAATAATATTGTTATAATCTAATGGAAACATTAAAAAAGGGTAAAAGTATCACTGTTCCTTTATCAAAATGACAGCGCAAAAAAAAAGGTATTGTTGCACAAAATATTATTCTGAATGGATGAAGCATCTTCAAGGCCCTAAAAGGCAGTGGAGATGAATAAGCCAAATAATATACTATATCCTGCTGGGTAAAATAATATATATATATTCCTTTAACAAATATATATATATATATATTTTTTTTTTTTTATTGTTTTTTTTTCCTAACTGGGTTCTACATGAATGGCATTGCTCTATAAATAACATTTTACCTTCAAAATACACTGTAGAATTCTAGTTATTGAAGCCATCAGGGAACAGTTGTGCAATCAAGTTTTGCCAACTGACGGGTTTGTAAATATGTCTCTGCTACAAATTAAGAAATAATATTTATATTAATATTTAACAGAATGTTACATTGTTAAAAGAAATGCACTTATTTTCTATAAAAGGGAAATTATGAATACATTTTTAATTGAAATATTGTTTTTAAAACACCATTTAACATCTCTTTCTTTCTTTTTAACCAGGACTTTAAAATATTGCCGAACACGTGTATTAAAAAAAAAAGGTGTTTTGTTTTTTTTTCTTTATTTTCTGGGATATTGCTTTTTTTTAATAACCAGAACCAAATAATTTCTCATTTTATAGGCTTCACTTCCCCTTTGTGGAATGAATAATTTGAAACCTATTTCCATGAAATCCATAGACGACACAGATTTTTACTTTGCATAAAGGCATAAACAAGGTGTCTGATATCACTAATATTCATCTACTAAGTGGACATTTGCATTGGGATAGAACGGAATAAGAATAAAAAAATAAAAAAAGAGTCAGACCCTCCTGCAGTGACAGCTGTACAAAGGCATGACATCTGACAGATGTGACAGTGCTGAAGGAAAGCTCAGATGACTCTCTGCATCTATGATCCAATTACAGCACACATTCTTCTGTCATACGCAGCAGCTTGACTCCAGCATTCGGAAGGACAGTATTGATCTCTTGTCAGAGACCAGTTGCCTGCTTGCAATTGTGCGAGGCTGAACTTTGAAAAGGCATAGTACCCTGTTAAATGATAGGGGCAGCTAGGTTATGTTATTCAGGTACAAAGAGAGGTTCAAAGGCTAGCTACTAAATGCTGTAAACTTGAAGAAATCATAACAATTTGACAGTCCAATCATGCTCAAGTAGCCCAGGCTCATCAAGCCTGCTACTGTCTATGATCTTCCTTGATGAAAAGGCCATTGCAATTAGTGCGTACTGACTTGTTGTGCTATGTGACAGCAGAGTAGATAGAATAATGGCAGGTGCCAATAACCGTAACTCATGGAATACAGACAATTAGGTCTATAATACACTCACTGCTAGTCTCTCAACTTCAGACCTTTTCTGTACTTTGACTTCAAACCATACAAGGTCAACGGGCTAAGCGGTCAATGAATAAAACTACTTGGGAAGGGGTCAGTTTTCTTTAAACAATTAACCATGAAGGCTCCAACACACACACACACACGCACAAATACAAACACACAATAAAAGGAGTGATAGAAAGAATAGTATAAAATGAATGAAAACGTTTTCTGTTTGTGTATCGTCTAACTAAATCTATAAAATATGGTTACAGAACAATGCACTGATATCTTAAAAAAGAACATTCTGAAAACAGTTGTTAATATTGAACAAGTTTTGGGCTATATTTCAAAGTTAACTCATTCTTTTCATGAAAAAATACTTTTTTCAGACTTGGATATTATGTAAGCGGCTGGAAGAAGATTGATTTTATTCATATGGACATATATTTCACACAGTCGTGTTATAGTACATCATCTTTTTATTTTCAACCCAATGTTAGTTATTATATAATACCACATATATTTTCCTTTGGTATGCACATTTATCTTACCAGGAAACAAATTAGAAAAGAAAAGGAGAATATTTAAATATAGATAAGCTACATTTTCAGTAAGAAAGCAGTAGATTGGTGGGAGAAATGGAAATGAAGTGGGAGAATGATCTTTGCTTTGATCAGATGCTTGGCCTTCCATTTTTAGAGTAGATTATATTTCATAACATACGTCTAGCCTACCATTCTAAAAATCAGTACTTACCATATGACTTTCTAAAAATTCTAAACTGTTATATTAAAATCGATTACAAGAGTCAC